ACATTCTGCTTATCCAGTCATCCACTGGACGTTGGTACAGTATCCACCTTGTAGCTTTGGTGAGTGATGTTGCTGAAACATTGGTGGGCATGTGTGTCGATAAGTCCCTGCTTTTAATTCTCTTGAGTGTCCACCCAGAAATGGAATTGCTGGATGGTGTGACATTCTGTTCAATTTTTTTGAGGACCCATCCTACTATTTTTCACAGCAGATGTCCCATCTTACATTCCCATCAGCATTGCACAGGGGTTCCAATACCGCCACCTCCTCACCCGCACTTGTTATTTTCTATGTGTTTGTTTCTGTTAGTGTAGGCATCCTAATGGTGTGACGTGGTGTCTCATTATTCTCACTCATTTTTAACGCCATATTTGTAGTTAGTGAACAAGACACGGTTACTTTGTTGTTGTTTTTTAAATAGTTTTAGTTGTAGATGGGCACAATACCTTTATCTAATTTATTATATGTGGTGCTGAGAATCGAACCCAGTGCCTCACCCATGCTAGGCTAGTGCTCTACCACTGAGCCACAACTCCAGCCCTCACAGTTACTTTGAATATTATGTTAATCAATGTCTGGCAGGAAATTGAATTTATACATTCATGTGTATCTACATAGATGTATGCATTCATTCCTCTTCTAGTTCCAAAATTTGTGTGATACCTTCTAAGCATCAACATGACTAAAATAAATAGTTCAATTCATAGCACTGGGAATATATTAGAAAAATGTTTGAAAAGAGAAAGAAACTATAGTCCAAAATAGATGAACATGAAAGTATGTTTGAATGTCCCACACAATTACTAAAACTGGTGTGAAAAGTCATTCCTGAACTTCCTAGTAGCAAAGAGAAAAAGGGAACAGGGTAGTAACATGGTTTGTTCCAAATGATGAAAGCTCAGAGAAAAGGCTTTCCTTGGCTTGCAAATGTAAGAATTAAGCAATAACTATTTTGAAAGTTTCAATAATAAGTTTGAAAGTTTCAAAACAGTTTTACTGGCACCAGTAGATTTCAGACTAAAACAAAATTTTCATTTTTGCTTTTTGGGGTTGGAATTGGAAATGACTCCACAACCTGACCATTATAAGACTGTTTCTGGCTAAAACAGTAGTTTCAAAATACAGTTAGTGAAACAAAAAGTAAATTTCATGTATCTCAACTGAGCAAAGAGATCTAACCCTTTGGAACATCAGGCAGTTAATATTTTCTGTAGTATAACAGGTAAAATCTTGAACTGCCTCATACATGTTTATACGTGTACCTAGCATTTCCTTCCCAGGTCACAGATTATAAATATGTGTGTTTATATAAATAGTCTTTTTAAAAATGTGTGCTTATCTTCCATTGGGAAAAGATCTTCATCTTCAAATCTGATGATGAAATTTCTGTTTCAACTTGAAATTACGGGAACTATGTATCATTTCAAGTATATGTTAGAAAAAAAGTTTCATAACTGGAACTGTGTCAAGTCCGATTTTAAGCATTTAAGAGCAAAGAAAAAAAAAGAATAAAAGCCACATCCAACTGATTTTTAAAAGAACTTAGAAAGTTTGTTTTAAAAATTGAAAGAATTGGTCTGGAGTTTTCCAGAAGTTTGGATAAAATATAATAATGGACCCCCACCCACCCACATACCCACACCCCTCGAGTTCTGAGGATCAAACTCAGGAGCATGGTAGGTGAGTACTCTACCACTGAGCTACATCACTAGGCATTTTTATTTTGAGATAGGGTCTTGCTAAGACCTTGATTTCTGCCCTTGAACTTGTAATCCTCTTTCCTCAGCCTTCTAAGTAGCTGGGGTTACAGGCGGATGCCACCATGCCCAGCAAATAATGCATTTCTTGATCATTTATAATGTTTTAGACACAGTTCAGAGTGCTTTGTACCTATTTACTCATTCCACTGAATTTAATGAGGTTAATCAATAGTATTAGGTAGGGAAACTGAGGCAGGAAGCAGCTAAGTGTCCTTGCTCCAGGTCATACAACCAGGAGTTGGCAGTTATACAACTAGAGCTGGGACTTGTACATCACATAGTCTGGCTCCAGAGGCCACACACTTACTCACAAACTATACTGCCTCTTAACATCATAGCAGATGAACCAGAGGACAGTTGTGGCCAACTGATAAATATTTTTCTTTTTTTTTTTTTTTTTTTTTTTTTTTTTTTTTTAAGGTTTTGGGGTATTTTCTTAATAATTAAACTCATCTAAATATTTTATTTGTTTTTTTTTATGCAATATGGGAACTACAGTTTAATAAAGCAGATTCAAGTGATTTTTTATACATATATCTTTGATCTTTAATATATATTTATATATAGATAGATCTAACAATTATAAACTATGGTTTATTTTGCAGGAAGCGGGTAAATGAGATTATTTGTTTTTTTGGATTGGGAATTGAACCTAGAGGTACTGAGCCACATCCTCAGCCCTTTTTATTTTTTATTTTGAGACCAAGTCTCTCTAAATTGTCCAGGCTGGCCTCAGACTTGTGACCCTCCTGCCTCAATCTTCTGAGTCACTGAGATGACAAGTGTGCACTCTTGCACCGGATTACCTCAATTACTCTTGAAAACTTGAAATTTTGTCTCATAAACAATTCATGGTGCTATTTTTTTTTCAAAAAATGAGTGACACTCTTGATTCTGGGTAAATGATAAACTCTGTGCCACCATTAAAAATGATATTTTTATGAAGAGTAAAACCATGAAAGAATGATTCTAAAGTGGAAAGCAGGAAAAAGTAAATTTATGAGAAGCCAAGCTGTATATTACATCACTCCCAAAATTAGAAAAAAGATGAGAAAGTCTATGGCTATCACTGGGTAGACTAGCAATGATTTCTTGTTTGTGGTTAATTTTCAATAAAATTTAAACAATTGGAGACTTTCATTACAAAAGCATTGTATATAGCTCTGAATATCTTTGGTATAATTTAGAGTCATCCTTGAACATCTTTGGTATAATTTTGAGTCATCCTTGAAAGCTCTATACCATAGGGGTAAAGGTGGACAGAACTCAGACCAGCACTATCAGCTGTGGCTAACTTAATTAAAAATGATAAAATTTAAAATTCAGGGACACAGCCACATCAATGTTTATAGCAGCACAATTCACAATAGCTAAACTGTGGAACCAACCTAGATGCCTTTCAATAGAAGAACGGATTTAAAAAAATGTGGCATATATACACAATGGAAAATTAGCAATAAAAGAGAGTAAAATCATGGCATTTGCAGGTAAATGGATGGAGTTAGAGAAGATAATGCTAAGTGAAGTTAGCCAATCCCAAAAAAACAAATGTCAAATGTTTTCTTTGTGTAAGGAGGCTGATTCATAGTGGAATAGGGAAAAGGGAGCATGGGAGGAATAGATGAACTCTAGATAGAGCAGAGGGGTTGGAGGGGAAAGGAAGGGGCATGGGGTAATTAATGATTGTGGAATGTGAAGATCATTATTATCCAAAGTACAGGTATAAAGACACGAATTGGTGTGAATATGGTTTGTATACAACCAGAGATATGAAAAATTGTGCTCTATCTGTGTAATAAGAATTGTAATGCATTCCGCTGTCATATATAAATAAAAAATAAATAAAATTTAAAATTCATTCTATTAGCCTCACTAGCCCCATGTCAAGTGTTCAGTAGTCACATGTGATATTGACAGCTTTACCATTATCATAGAAAACTATTGCACAGCACAGTTCTGAAGAAAGAACACAGAATCTGGAGCCAGAATCTTAGAATCAAGTCTTCCTCCAGGCTGGCACTTTCTGTGTGAAATGGGGCAGTTTACTTAACCTCTCTGAGTGTCTTTCTCCAGGGGCAAATTGATACTGGTATCATTTACCATGTACAGAGGTTAAGAAAAGACAAAAGTAAGAGAATGCAGGTGACAGTTCTTGTGTTCTACCAGGAAGATATTGCTTCATAAGTCCCCCAACTTGAAGTTAGCCAGCTCTTTTGTGGATTGATTCCAAATCCATAAACAGTTCATACCAAGAATTTTGTGTGAAGGACAGCATAAACTGACTTAATACAATTCCTAAGCCAGGTCCATGGCAATGTGGGCATTCCATTCCTTCCTATTCTAAAGCTTCAGCACACAATTATGTATCTTATTACACCTGTTCAAAGTTTTCTTTAATAATTGCATTGCCTTGCCAGACATGGTGTAGTGCAAACCTGAAATCCCTGCAACTTGGGAGGCTGATGAAGGAGGATTGAAAGTTCCAGGTCAGCCTCAGAAACTTAGCAAGACCTTGTCTCAAAATAAATAAATAAAAACAGATTGGAATGTAATTAGGTGGTAAAGCATTCCCTGACCAGTACCCACCCCTGGAGCCAAACAAAAAAATGAAGAAGATGGTGGATAGGCAGGGAATGTAGCTCAGTGGTGGAACATTTGCCTAGCATGTGTGAGGCCCTGGGTTTGATCCCCCAGATAAATAAACTAAAATATATACATACTTACATACATAAATTTACTGCATTTCTCTATTCCACACCTACAATATCTAAAAAAAAAAAAAAAAACCTGCCTAAGAAAGAAAATAAAAGGACTGCATTTGCAAAATAAAGAAATAGAATGTGTGCTTTAGTTGAATCATCTGAGTTGACAGTGCAGGAATTAATCCAAAGATGTTGCCATTTACTGCAAAAGCTAAGGTTTTCACCAACAGTGGCAGTAGGTTCTCTAAGTTTCAAAGCTGTTGGAGGACTGATAAAACGGAAGTACTTGCTCATTCTGGTCCCCCCCCCCCTTCTGAGTCACTTCGGGTTTTTCCTGCTCAACTTGACTATTTCAGACTATTTTAAGGCTGCTGCATTTCTACAACAGCCTCCATCTTATTTCTCATTTAACCACCCCATGGCCTAAAAATTCCTAAGCATGCATCTTGTGGGCCTGGAAAGAGGCCAAGGAGCCAAATTGGGGCTGAAGTCGGTGCAGGTTCCCCACTCACGCCACCTTTTGCTTCTCCAGGTTTCCAGCTGTGGATGCCTTTGACATTATGACCGCAGAGGATTCCACCGCAGCCATGAGCAGCGACCCAGCTGCAGCATCCTCGGCGAAGGTACCCGAGGGCGTGGCGGGCGCGCCCAACGAAGCCTCGCTGCTGGCGCTTATGGAACGCACCGGCTACAGCATGGTGCAGGAGAACGGGCAGCGCAAGTATGGCGGCCCGCCCCCGGGCTGGGAGGGCCCGCACCCGCAGCGCGGCTGCGAAGTCTTCGTGGGCAAGATCCCTCGCGACGTGTATGAAGACGAGCTGGTGCCCGTGTTCGAGACAGTGGGCCGCATCTACGAGCTGCGCCTCATGATGGACTTCGACGGCAAGAACCGCGGCTACGCCTTCGTCATGTACTGCCACAAGCACGAGGCCAAGCGCGCGGTGCGCGAGCTCAACAACTACGAGATCCGCCCGGGCCGCCTGCTGGGCGTGTGCTGCAGCGTGGACAACTGCCGCCTCTTCATCGGTGGCATCCCCAAGATGAAGAAGCGCGAGGAGATCCTGGAGGAGATCGCCAAGGTCACCGAGGGCGTGCTCGATGTGATCGTCTACGCCAGCGCGGCGGACAAGATGAAGAACCGCGGCTTCGCCTTCGTGGAGTACGAGAGCCACCGCGCTGCGGCCATGGCGCGCCGCAAGCTCATGCCGGGCCGCATCCAGCTGTGGGGCCACCAGATCGCCGTGGACTGGGCGGAGCCTGAGATTGACGTGGACGAGGACGTGATGGAAACCGTGAAGATCCTCTATGTGCGCAACCTCATGATCGAGACCACCGAGGACACCATCAAGAAGAGCTTTGGCCAGTTCAACCCCGGCTGCGTGGAGCGCGTCAAGAAGATCCGCGACTACGCCTTCGTGCACTTCACCAGCCGCGAGGACGCAGTGCACGCCATGAACAACCTCAACGGCACCGAGCTGGAGGGCTCGTGCCTGGAGGTCACGCTGGCCAAGCCGGTGGACAAGGAGCAGTACTCCCGCTACCAGAAGGCAGCCAAGGGCGGAGGCGCGGCGGAGGCGGCAGCTCAACAGCCCAGCTACGTGTATCCCTGCGACCCCTACACACTGGCCTACTACGGCTACCCCTACAATGCTCTCATCGGGCCCAACCGGGACTACTTCGTGAAAGGTTAGTGGGACTCTTCTCCGCGGCGGGTCCCCCTGGCGCCCCGCTACTAGGCAGCCTGTACTTTACTAAGCTGATTGACCTTGAGCCCTGCTCTTTTGGCTTTGGGTTTGGATTCTGAGTTCTGTTTGCTGATTCTTCAGACTGATTTCTGAGCACTGAATGAAATACAGACCCTTCTCTGGGGAGCAGTCCAATCAAGGGACTACAGTCTCTCTTGTAAGGGCCTGCACAATTTGGTAGGCCTGCCCATCTCTTGGAACCTAGGTCAAAACCTGCTTCTGAAATTAAATGTTTAAGTTGGGGCAGTGTTTTGTTGTTGCTGTTTGTAATCATTGGTTAGAACATAATGAAACCTGGCATGACACTGGAAAACAGATAACCCCAGTTCTAGGTCCTGTCCTCCAATTATCTGGAGTCACCTTAATGTCCCTAGGCCTGTTTTCTCAGTCATAAAATGAGGCAGGTGGACTAGCAGATCCCTTTTCAGGACTGAACTTTTTTACACTCTATAAATGTTTCTTTGCTGAAGTTGCAATTACAATTCTAGGACTCACTTTGCTGGTTAATCTCCTGCATTGAGTGGGCAGACTTAGGATGCACATCTAAGTGGAAACAGAATGTTTGGAGCCTCTTGACCAGCCCATCCAAGTCCAAAAGTGCAGCCACCTGCCATGTAGACCTAGGACAAATTAAATGCCAAGAATCATGGGCCAAGGTCTTCCTCCTGTGCTGTCACGGTTGCTTGCTCATCATTTTTTGTGTTGTTATTATAAGCAGGCAGCATAAGAGGCCGAGGGCGAGGTGCAGCTGGCAACAGAGCCCCCGGACCCAGGGGTTCCTACCTCGGGGGATATTCTGCTGGCCGCGGTATATATAGCCGATATCATGAAGGGAAAGGAAAGCAGCAAGAAAAAGCATATGAACTTGTGCCGAATTTGGAAATCTCTGCTGTCAATCCAGTTGCCATTAAACCTGGTACAGGTCAGTATAAAGCAGAGCAAGAATGCATCCATTCTACCTAAACCCCAACCCTATCTTTGAAGTGAATCCAAGCCCTCTGGGCTCTTCTGGTTACCCCTAGGTGGATTCATCTTACCATGGTCAGCCAGAGACTAGGCAAAAAGAAGGTGGCCTCCTAGACCTTCTTATCTGGAACTAATGGGATGATCTAGCTCCAGGTCTAGCTCCAACCATGTTCAAATCAAACTGTCAAGTAGGAACTTTTTCTAGTGGGTATCACCAATTGTTGGGCTTTTTCTCAACCTGCGGCCAAGAAGGCAGAGTTAGGCCAGATAGTAGTGCATGCCTATAATCCCAGCTGAGGCAGGAGGATCAGGAGTTCAAAGCCAGCTTCAGCAACTTAGCAAGACCCTGTCTCTAAATGAAGCCTGGGGATGAGGCTCAGTGTTGAGTGCCTCTGTTAATCCCCAATAACACTACACACACACAAACACACACACAAAAGGCAGAGTTAAGGTTAAGGAGAGGGAAGATATAAGAGAGGAAGAATATGAGACTCTCTGTATCTTCCAATAGCCAAAATCTGTTTCTTTCTCAGGTCTATTTCTGCTCCGACCATCAGGCGGTTTTTTATTTGTTTATTTTTGCTTTTTTTTTTTTTTTCCCCAGTGCTGGGATGGAACCCAGAGTGTCATCCATATAGGCAAGGGCCCTACCACTGAGCTATATCCCCCGTCCTACCCTGTCTGAAGCCTGGAGGTGTAGCTTATTATCAGTTCTGGGTGTTAAAGGGTAGAAATCTCCCTTCAAGAGGAAGTAGCACCATTTGTCCCTCTTATGGTCTGAGCAAACATGAAGACTTGGGGACAAGGCCGTCGTCAGAGTTTTTGTGATTGCTGATTCCCTGTATTATAATTTCCAGCACTCGAGTCCTCTTCCTGCTGGATCAGTAGATTTAGAGTAGGGATGCTCAAGTCAATCCAGCTAGGGATCTTGAACTGTGCTCCAATCCCCAAGAACCTGTTTGCCAACATGGTTGCTACCCTTGGTCACCTAACCTGAGGCAGGGCTTCTGATCCTAACCTGCAAGAAATTTTAACTCCATTCAGTGAGCCCTGCATAAACTTGCTCTCAGCACGTACCTCATAAGCATCTAAAAACATGGAAACTTGAGTTGTTGAATAACTGGAGCAATATTCCTACGACCTCTTCCTGGCCTGAAGAGCATTTGAAGCTCAGCTACTCTGATTTTCCTGGAGAAAATTGGGTCCGGGAATCTGTGTTTGAGACATAGATTGGCATTGGCTTCACAGGGCTAAAAAGCACGTTTATAATAGAGCCTCCATTTGAAGGAAAGTGATGATTTTTTTTTTTTTTTTTTTTGCCTGTGAAATAGTCCCTCCATCTCTGCAGTTAAGTGACTGGCACTAGATTTCCTTATAAATATCATTGGTCCTATGAGCAATGTAAAACGGATTCCCTAGCTTTCTATAACTCCAAAACATCTGGATAAAGGAGTTCTACTTATTGGGAAAGGATCTTTTCCTCTTGGCAAGTTACAGTAGCTTAAGGTTTAACTAGAGAAAATAACTGTTGAACAGTCTTTAGCCATGTATCACCCCAGGTAGATTCCTGCAGGCTGGTGGCCAGAACCATGTAGAGTTTACTTGGTACAATCCCAACAGGCTTAAAATTGATAACCCTCTGGGTCCCATCCCCTTGGCCTCGATTTCTGATCACCCAGAAAATTTGAACTAGGAGAGACACCAGGGCAGTGGTGTCTGGGCACAAGACCAGTGGAAGATATGGTTGGAAAGGCAGGTAAAATATTTAGTTAAGGTTTTAGATATTTTTTATTGAATGACTGTACCATTGTTCCACTTACGGTCATTTGCCTCTTTACTTTTGATCAAGTCAATCTTCATTAGAATAAATGGACCTACCTATAGTTGAAGAAGAAACATAAATGAAAGGGTTCTTTGTGTATCCATTTCATATTCTTCCATGTCCTTTCAACACACACAGCATACACACGCACACACTTCCCCCAAATCAATGCTGAAATCTTTTCCTTGGGAACTTTTCTTATTGTGTGCTGACATTCAATCACTACTATCTGTTTGATTCTCTGCTTAAAATCATTCCTTTGGATGCTGTTCAGAAAGTATTTGAATTGGCAGGTCCCTGAAAGACCAGTCACTCTTCCTGCTTTACTGCTAGAAAAATTAGAGAATTTTACATCTTTTATTAGTCTCCCCCATCCTTGCTCTGTAACACTGACATCCGAAATACAGGGCAGGGAGAATGTGCACAGATCTCTGAAGTGTCAGAATGAAACCTCACCAGCACTTGCTTTTTAAAAAGCGGTGAAAGTGAAAAAGGCCCTGGGTCTGGTGACGGAAGAGGTGAGTGAGAACCGACAGGCAGGTGCAGCGCTCACGCTTGCTGGGCCTCCCACCTCTGATTTCACTTCTTATCCTGAGCCCATTCTTCAGGGTCTCAGGCCCTTTCCTGCTTGATGGGACATCAAGAGAAAGATTCAGAGGGCACTTTCCGTAGACAAGGGGAAAATGTTGGTGCACACCCCTAACTCTAGCCTCCCCTTCCACGTCGGGAGACACCATCCCGTGTGGTTCCAAGACAAGCAGAAGTTCTCTGCTGCCTCCCGTCCCTTCCTGCTGGGCAGCACCTTGTTAAATGGCTTCTACTGAGAAAGCATTCATAAAGTCTGGGGAGGCCCCCTGGACTGCTCACCTTGTGTTTTTCAAAAATACCATTGAGCACATGGTAGATCCTCCTCGGTGACTGAAAGTGACGGACCTGTTTTGCCTTCTTGCTTCTCTTGCAGTGGCCATCCCTGCCATCGGGGCCCAATATTCCATGTTTCAGGCAGCCCCAGCCCCTAAAATGATTGAAGATGGCAAGATCCACACAATGGAGCACATGATCAGCCCCATCGCTGTGCAGCCAGACCCAGCCAGTGCCGCTGCCGCTGCTGCTGCTGCTGCTGCAGCTGCCGCTGTCATTCCTGCAGTATCAACGCCGCCACCTTTCCAGGTAGAGCTCCCCTTGGGTCATTGTCATTTGTATGTGGATCCTCTCCTTGCTGTGGCATCATCTTAGCATTCGGCACTTTAATTTACTTGGAGCCTAGCTCTCTGTTAGAGCTATGGCATTGGGTGATTTTTTTTTATTAAGAATTGCACTGCTCTGAGTGTGTCCTTGTTATTAAAGATAGGGAGCAGTAATACGAAATAGGAGGTGTGGTTTTTCAGGGTCATACTTTTGTACAGCACCAAAGCATGTTCAGCTCATGCTGTGAAGGAGTTGATGCCGGGAGTCCAGGGAGATGGAGCCTGTGTTCTTATTCTGATTTGAAGCTCATGAAAGATTTTTTGTAAATGTTTACCCTGTATACATAAAATATGTTTTATGTATTTATGTGTGCACACATATGCGTAAAAAGCACAAGAATTTCTGTGTAGATAAAAGTCTATAAAACTTTACAAAAATTTGCCCTCACTCCTCTTCTCTGGCCACAGTTCACACTATTCCCCTATCTTTTCCCAAACTCATGTTACCATTTGGGCCTCCTTTGCTCATCATGTTCTCCTACCTACCATTTCTTGGTTGTGCCTCTTCTGCAGAGCCTCCCTCTCCCCTCTCCTGGAGAAGTCCTCCCTCCCATACTTGTCATTACCACAGTATTACTCGGCACCTCGCTGCCACTGTGCTCTGTCTTTGAAAGAGACTCCCCCAGGCCAAAAGCTATGTTTCAGGCTTCTTTATATCTTCAGTGCACAGCACAGAGGGACATCAACCCTACCAAAAAGTCTTGTTAGAGCTCTTCTCTGTGAAGCATTCAATCATGAGCACCTTACTACGAATGGGAAATGCCCGCGCCTAGTGTCTAATTGAACAAGAACTACCCAAGGCACGTATCGAGAAACTGATCGCTAGACTCAAAGCCATTTCAGTTGGGCTGGACTGGGGTTCTAGAATGGGTCATTTTGTACAAGTACCTCAGTGGTTCTGAAATAGCCATCCCAGGAGGATGCTCTTTCCCTGCTTTTGCCTACTGGGAACCCATTCTTGGCTGCATTACTCAGAAAAGGTTAAACCAATTGGAGTTTGTCAGTGTGTCATTAAGAATTCTTGGACTGGGGTTGTGGCTCAGTGGTAGAGCGCTTGCCTAGCATGCGTGAGGCACTGGGTTCAATTTTCAGCACCACATCTAAATAAGTAAATAAAATAAAGGTCCATCAACAACTAATAAAAATATAAAAACAAACCAAAAAAAATAATTCTTTAAGTCAGGATTCCTCGGGGGCTGAGGTGATGGGGAGAAGGAAGGAAGAGACTCACACTGTACCATGACAGTTTAGTTATCACTTGAGGAATGATTGCAAATATCCATAACTTGAAAGTAATACTGCAATTAAGGTAATTTATTTTAATACCTATTTTTACTTCTAATTGGTACATAATAATTGCATATATTTAGGGGTACAGTGTATTAAGATCTGATCAGGGTAACTGGCATATCCATCACCTCAAATATTTGTCATTTCTTTGTGTTGGGAGCATTCAGAATCCTCTCCACAAGCTCATTAGAGATATACAATTAACTGTTGTTAACATAGTTACCCTACTGTGCAATAAAACATCAGAAGTTATTCCTTCTAGCCAACTGCATTGAGTAATAATTATTAATTCTTCTCTACTACGAAACTCATGCAGTCAAAGTACAACTGTTGTCAGTTGATTGCTGTGGACATTTGTTCCTCCTCAGTACTTTGTGCAGAACGCCCAGAGCTACTGACTTTTTAACCTGCAGTGCCTTTGTACTCTGTCCTTGTCCTTTAACCTGGATTCTCTAATAGGTTCAGCCCTCTGCTTCTTTTGAATTTCCTGCTGAATCATGGCAGAGGAAGGAGTTTCGGTGGTGGTGGTGGTGGTGAGGATTGAAGCCCAAGGTGCTTTACACTGAGCCACATCCCCAGCCCTTTTTATTTTTTATTTTGAGACAAGGTCTTGCTAGGCCACTAAATTACTCAGGGTCTTGTTAAGTTGCTGAGGCTGGCCTTGAACTTGCAATCCTCCTGCCTCAGCCTCCAGAGTCACTGGGATTACAGGTATGCTCCACCATACCTGGCAGAAGGAACATTTTTAAGCACCACTGATTGTTGAAAAGAATCCTGTCTAAGCCACACTGGAAACTGATCTCCCAGCGTGGCTTCCAGAACCTACCTGAGGTACACCTTCCATCCTCCTGCCCTGCCTTGCAGGTGCTCAGGGATCCAGTTCAGCCTTTTTATATCTAAAAGTTCATGTGGCCTTTGCAAGCAGTGAAGAAATATTTGCCAGCATAGATTGGCTTTTTCAAATTGCCTCCTCACAGTGTTTTAATTCTCAACAAGAAATATGTAATATAGGTGGAGCAGAGATAACCATTCCTCCTGGAAACCCAGTCTTTTCCTTGCCCACCTGCCACCTTCCCACCTACCTCTTCTCTCCTCGACACGTGTCACTTTTTGAAGGTCTCAGACCTAGTACATATAACCAGGCCGGGAACACGTGCCCCCTCGTTTGCTAGAGGATGTAAGTCCTACCTGCACATGTTACTTGTGGCAAAGGCATATTACCAACACTGATGTCAAAGGATTCTTAGCCAAGCACAGGGAATGGGGTGAGAACAAAGCAAATTGCATGCAATAAAGGGGGGGTGACCTTGGTGATTTAGGTATAAAGCTGTTAATAATCTATTTATAAGCCTCAGTGCTCACAAAAAATCTGGGATAGCAGGAGGAAATGAAATTCACAGGCCAGCCCCGGGCTCATTTAATCCACGGTTTCAGTTTCCTCAGTTGAATTAGTAGTTTTTAAAGGTGTTCAATGGTATCTTTCACCCGCTGCCACTCCCACATTTTTCTCTCTTCCTTCTGTTCCATTAAGCTGTATTAATCAACGCAGTTGTCCTTCACTGGCTCTCTGCAAGACGCTTCTCTTCTGTTCTTCCTTTGCAGGGAAGAAAATCAAGGCTGGGGAGGTGACTGAATCACCTAGAGCCATATGACTGGCAAGGCGCCAGATTTGGGCAGGCAGATCAGGTCTATCTCTGTCCTCGAATTACAGAAAAATACTGTCCATGAAAGGGACGTCACCCGGAGTAAGAAAAGAGGCCAGGGGTTTAGCAACCTGCTCTTGATTTCAGGTTGGCCGAGGAGAGTTTGAGCCTTGATATTTCTCACGGTCTTAAGGAGGATTTGTCGACTCCACTCTCTAGGCACAGAGATGATTTTATCAGAAAGGGCAGACAGACAGCATGAGCCTTCCAGCGCTCTGGTCACTACTGACAAGTGCTGCAGACCCTTCCATCCCCCTGCTGGTCATCCCATTGGTGCTGCCCTCTATAGAGATATCCCCTGCTGGGGCGCCCACCTAGGCCAGTTCCCGTAGATGGCAAGGTTTTCAAAAACTACCAGGGCACAGTACATTTTGTTTCAGGCCTGAAATAGAACTACAACCCAAGGACCTGAAGGAAAACATCTTTTGGCAAAACAAGCCAAAAAAGCCCATTTTACCCAGGGTTCTGCCAGCCCATGTCTTCTCCCAGAAATCATATGGATATAGGTTCATACACAGAGGTGATTAAAGGTGTCCTAGCCCCCATACTTGGATTTTACTGACTCTCAACTTTAGTCATTTGGTGGGCAGAAAGAATGACCTTTAAACTGGTTTGCACCACTAAAGCAGGAAGCCGGAAGCTCTGACAGGACACGATTCTGTTGAGATCAAAGTGGGCAGGATCGTGTCTTGAGTTTGACTGCATGACCACTAACTGGGTCCCCAGACCATAGTAGGTGTTCAGTAAAGTTCAGGGAAATTTCATATATGGAAATTTAGATATCCAAGCATGACCTGCCACCAAGAAGCCAAGTCATTTGCAGATATGTGCATAACTTGGTGTTGGGGGGACAGAGCACATCTGAGAGATGTCCTTCCTTCCCTGCCGTCTCCCCTTAGTGCATTTGTTGTTAAAGCCTATATCCACACATTTTGGAAAGCGTTGCTGTGACCTAATCTTCCAGTTTCAACACTCTCCTGGTTGTAAGGGGTAGCTAATGGGACTCTCGCTGTACATTGCATAGTGTCATAGGAGGCCAGATTATATTGGGTCCAACATTTCATTGCTTAAAAGCCGTGTCGCTATATGCAAGTCACTCAACACATCTGTACCTCTCTGCGTCATCAAGTACCCACCTTCACTGGCCGTTGTGATGATTCAATAATGTCAATCAAACAAGGAACGCAGAATGGTGCCTGGCAGTGGTAATCACTGTTGTCGTTCATTGTTATGATTATATGTTATTTGACACAGTTGAAAAAAGCATTCCTAAGTTAGAAGTTCCCTTGAATATAATTATTGGTCTGATTCGTAGACGTGTTAGAGAAATAACTAATTTTTTTTATAAGAATTCATTAAGAACTAACTTTTAAAGTCTAATTTTCCATTTAGATGTAGTGAGGCGTAAGGAGACCAGACAAGCCTTGAGTTCAGGATTTTCTGTGGAACATAAGATGCCCCAATCCCTTTTTCCACAAAGCTGCTTTCAGAACTAGCTCCACAGCAAACTTTTTGGAAAACACCTCACAGGACCTGAATCTTCCCCTCCTAATCACTGTTTGTTGTGAAAACACGGTGTCTTACACTCTGAGCAGGGGCTTGTACAGAGCTATCCACGCTGAGGCAGCTTGAGCTTCCTCACTTCTCATTTGGAAACTGCTCTTTGTCCTTCAAAACACAGTTTAATCGTCCCCAAATTCTGAGATGCTTTCTCCAACTCTTTTAATTAGCAGAAAATCCTCTACGTGGAGGGGTACGCAAAGTGGTGTCCTATCTCAGGTGGGACATGATAGGAGCCATCAATCACATTGGCTGGAAAGTACATAGTCACAAAATTTTAAGGTCATAGCTTAAAAATCTGTCCCTTTGAAGACCATTTCCATTAAGTTGGGAAAGTCTCCTCTCTGTGTCCCCACAAATAAGTGTGAGTGAAGGCAGCTGGCAGGTATTTAGGGGCCACATTTCAAGGAAAATACTTATTTTTAATCATTGTGTGGAAGGAAGATTTTCCAACTCTCTTTCCAGCTCACTCTGGGGGCATGGACAGGGTGGAATGATGGATAGAAGATTCCAGAGTATTCCAACTTCCCCTCGGCCTTCCTGGTCTCACTTTTTTTTACCAGGGTGGCATCCTGGAATTTGGATGAACGAGGTGCTTAAGGATGTCACTTCCCCTAGCTCTTTAATGGCTTTTACCCCGGTCCCTGTTGCTTGCTTACCGGCCTGGCTCCCCCGTCCTGAGGTCCTGAGCATGGAATCCCCTGCCTTCGTCCATCTTGGCGGGTTCTTCCATCCCTGGGAGGAGAGGCCCATGGGATGAACAGGTGGTGGTAACTGTTGTGAGTGTGAACTGTGGTGATCTGGAGTGAGCAGGCTCAGCAAGGCTTCTTCTTGTCTCCCCTCAGGGCCGCCCCATCACCCCCGTGTACACGGTGGCTCCCAACGTTCCGAGAATCCCCACCGCCGCGGGCATCTACGGGGCCAGTTACGTTCCCTTTGCTGCCCCGGCCACGGCCACCATCGCCACACTACAGAAGAACGCCGCCGCGGCCGTGTACGGAGGGTACGCCGCGGGCTACATACCTCAGGCCTTCCCGGCTGCTGCTATTCAGGTCCCCATTCACGACGTCTACCAGACCTACTGAGGCCGGTGACAGGCGCAAGGGCCAGCCACAGAGACCGCTGCAGGAACACTGTACAATTGATGCAGAAAGGACCCTGTGGGATGCGCGCACATGTGAACCGTGACCGTGAAGAATGTTATCGAATATCAAATATCACCTGAGATATTTTATACACATGAAGTTTTCACTAGTTTTTTTTTTTTTTTTTTTTTAAGACTGTCCTCAACGGAGCAGGCCTGTGTTCATACATTTCTCAGAGACTCGCAGGGGTCCGTGCCTTAACACATACCATCTTTTAAAAAAAAAACTTGTCCGCCGAATGACATTTGTATAGAGGTTTTGTGTCGTTCTGTTTTTTAAGGATCTATTTTCAGTATGAAGGTTATTTTCTTAACTTCTGCACTCCGGAGAGTTCTATTTTGTGGTACCTTCCCTAGTAGACCAGCTGGCTGTTTAAAAAAAGCACCCTCGAGCAGCTGGAGAACTGTTTTGAAAAAAAATGTATTCACTATTTAAAGATGCAAACAATCGTGCTTTGAAAATACTACACCAAGCATTATTTTAAAGGTGATACTGGAAAGTGCAATTTTAATATGAGTCAAACCTCTGCTGTATTTCCACTGGCATTAAGGGTTGACGGTGTTCCCCTGTGTTACCATGATGCTTCTGTTTTTGAAAAGAAATCGGAACACTCAATCTCTCCTCAGGCCAACTTGGAAATGACTCGTCACACTCTGAGTCCAAACACTGGAAAGCTGTACCTGTCACCATTACCTTGGGTTGGTTCTCCCATGTGCCTTGATTGTTAACCATGCCCCTCCCATCCCGCCTCACCCCAGTCCCCATCCCTAGTCCAGCTTCAAAGTTTGGCAATTCTAGGAAGCATGAAGAACTCTATAGAGAAAACAACTAGTGGCTTTTGTACTTCTCCCTGGGTTTTTAATGGGCTTCTTTGTTTTGTTGTACTGTTTTGTTTTGTTTTGTTGTTTGGTTGGGGAGGTATTATCTTCTACATGTGCTCTTTTCAGTAGCAGAGTACGTGTAAGCACCGGGTTTTAATATTATGTTTGCATAAGACATCTTCGCATAGCTATTTAATTGTCCAGGATAAAACTTTAATTCCCTTTCTGATGTTTTAATTTTATTCCTTTTTGAAGTATGGGTTTTTAGAGACAAAGAATGTATGTTGTTGTGGACAAGATCCCAAAGATTCTTGTCAGCAGAAAGTTAAGCCTCTAGTTGCCTTATCATGTTTCATGCAAAATGCTGTAGTCACCAACGGTGTTGGGAACGTTATGCTTGTAGAAAAGGGCTTTTCCTCCTTAGCTGTGCACTCGGTGGCTGAGCTGAAGTGTGGCCCGCACATCCAGGAGGAGAGACCTGAAGGAGTTTTATAAAAGTTTGTAAATATCTTCTCATGCTGACTTTTTAGTCTTTTTATGTTGCTGAAGTTCACGGTATAGAGTTTAATGCAAAGTGAAACCATTTTATTTCAATGTTATTAAAAAGATTTGCTTTATTAGGAAGTAAATATATTGTTGCAGTGTTTTGTGCCTGTTTAAGGGCTTTTGTTGAGCAAAGTGAATGTAAAATACAGTAAAATGTTAAGATTGTCATCTCTTCTATGAACTACATCAACTTGGAATTTTGAAAAGGCTCTATCCAGGAAGTTCGGTGTGCAATAAGGTAGCAGATCCACAGTGGTGTTTTATGTCATGTTAGAGATTCATCAAATCATTCCATTCACTGTATTTCTGTTGATGGCTGAATTCTTATTTGTGGATTAATAATAGGATCATGCCCTTAGCAAATACTTTTAGTTGTTTTTTTTAATTAAGAGACTCCCAAATGCCTTCCCCCACCCATCTTGATGGGATGAGTTTTTATATATATAAGGAATATTTATTTAACTATTCTATAAAATTATTGAGTGCCTGCTAAGGCCTTTAAACATTCCTGACATTCCTTTCCATCATTCTTAAATGACATAAAGTGATAGTGCAATGTTCCTGATGAGGTACCCAGCAAGCTTCATCCAAACTCGGAATCTGTTGGAATGACTAATCCAACAAAATTCAATTTGGATCAGATCTTCATCCCTTGACTGTGTGAAAGAAGTACTCTCCTTCCGGTGAAGGATTATCACAGAGGGTCACTGGATGAAACTCTGACCCAGTGCTCTTACTGTATTTTACATGTGCCTATAAATTATTTGCAAAAAAGAAAAAGTTTTTTAACGGTATCTTAACATGGCAACTACCAAACTACCTTAAAAACAAACATTGGTGACAGCCAGTTAAGTATCAGTGAGCCTCCTCTCTGTGGTCTTACCTGTTTCTATTGTTTCAAAACCATTTCATGTACACTACTGAGGTAAGTTTATAACTTGAAATGTGAACTTTTTATTTTTTAGGGGTTAAGAACAAACTACATAAATGTTTAAAAAAAAGTTTTAGAGTTCTGCTTCACATGCTAGTAGTTTAGTTGTTACTTTTAGCTGCATTGTATTTGAAAAACTTTTTAGATCTTGCTCCATTTGCAGTACATTCTTAGGATGTATGTAGTAAATAAAGCTTTCTTTAAAGCAATTTCAAGACTTTATTTTAAATTGTGGGGTTTTTTTAACAGTTTTTTTTTTTCCTCCAACAAAATTAAGAAAGCCCTGATCTAGCATAGAAGTGATTTCACTAATTCAGCATTTTCATTTGGAGAAACAGACAAGCTATTGTCATGTCTTTAGCTTGAAATTTCTATGGAAGATGAGTTACCGGGTTCAATTGTGAAGTGTCAGTATCCTCAAACTTTGGCTCAGAAGGTGGAGCATTCAAATCCTACTAAGCTTTTGGATTGGAACAGTATGTGGCAAATGGTCCCAGCTCTCTCTGCGGAAGTCTGGTTAGGTGCCCAAGTGCTTTACATCCAGAACTCTCTGTGGAGGCGGCTGATGTGACCTTGAGCTGTTCGGTGATCTCACGAAAGTGCTGAGGTGACCTTGATGGTCACTGCCTGTGAAACCCAGGCTTTCTTGTTTCTCCTTTTCATAGTGCACGGCAAGGTTATAGAACGCTTCCTTCCCTTTTCTGTAGAGACCTTCAGTAACTTCACACAGTGTCTAGTAGCAAAGTCAGGCAAGGGATTGGACAGAAAGGGACAAGTTGTCCAGGGAATTACTGCACTTTTCAAACTTGCTCCACTTGGCTTTGCAGGTGATTAAGATCAAGAATTTTACCTTCTTGGGGACTGGGAGTATAGCTCAGTAGTAGAGCGTTTGGCTGGCATGTAGAAGAGGCTCAGAACCCAGCAAGGCTGAGGCTGCTGCCTTACCTTTGAACCTGGGTCATGGCCTCCCAACCCACATTCTCTGGAATCCTAATTTCCTGCTTCCTCTTAGAAGTATAAAGGCCTATTGAGAGGTAGAACAGGCCTGATAATCTCCCAAGAAGACAGATCATTAGCAATTTTTTTTTTTTTTTTTTGTACCAGAGATTGAACCCAGCGGTGCTTCACGGCTTAGCCACCTCTCCAGCCCTTTTTACAAGACAGGGTCTCACTGAGTTGCTTAGGGCATCACTAAGATGCTGAGGCTGAGCTTCGAACTTGCCATCCTCCCAATTCAGCCCCCCAAACTGCTGGGATTACAGGCAGGTGCCACCGCGCCTAGCTAGCAGTGTTTTTAAGGGCAACATGATCTACCGATTCCTTCTTGTTCCCAGAGAAAAGTACAGATGCCCTTGAAGAGTCTCAGACTTGGATTGATCATGTTAGGACGGGAGTTAACAATCATACAAAATAGGTAGCACACCTCTCAGGGAGGGTGGGCTCTGTCCTTAGAGCTCAGCTTTGATCCTCTTGCGCTCCCGGGACTGGCGTCCTAGAACACAGAGCTCAGTAGTATGTCAGGTGAGGATAAATGTCATGACTCCAGGGTTCACTGGGCTCCGGCTTCCGTCACCTCAGGTGTACCACACAGTAAGTAGCAGAGGAGGTGAGGCAGAAGGTGACTAATCGAGGTCACACAGCTCGTAACAACCAGGACTCAAATCTGCACTCAGTGTCCACATCCTGGATTCTCAAACAGCACGCTGACCCTAGAAATGGATAAACCTATTCTTCCAGGAAAAGAAAAGAAAAGGCCTTTTTACAAGAGCAGTTTCTTTCCTGATGGTTCTTAGTGTGTTCTTTTCTGCAATTTGGTGGGTGGGAACTGAGGGTCGATGGCTAGAAATGCCTACTCTCCACCTGGAAGGGATAGCAGCATGCTGGGCTGGTGAAAGTGTACACCTTGGTAGATTTAAGGAATTCTATTAGCTGAGATTATGGGGGAGGTTTACCAACCCCATAGGAAATTAGCTGTATATACTCTTGAGATTGGTTGGTTTGGGGCTGGAGCTGGAATGCAGAGCCTCACACATGCCAAGCACATGCTCAGCCACAGGCCACACACCCAGCCCTCTGATTCTTTCCTGGAATAGGTGCTTCTTTTTTTTTTTTTTTTTTTTTAACCCAAAAAATATCTATCATGAGCACTTATTTAGTTGAAAGAATAATTAACATAGTGTGATTTTTCCTTGTGTATTACTTCAATTATTGTACCATATTATCTTTTACAAAAATATTCAGGTCACTCGGTGTATATATCAGATTTGGGATTTTTGTTGTTTTTTTTTTAATATTTTTTAATACTTATTTTTTGGTTGTAATTGGACACAATATCTTTATTTATTGATTTTTATGTGGTGCTAAGGATCAAACCCAAGGCCTCCCACGTGCTAGGTGAGCGCTCTACCACTGAGCCACAATCCCAGCCCTTATAGTTTTTAATCACAGGAAGTGTGACATTTTGGCCTGGTTGTTTCCATGAAATGACACTTTGACACACCATGACCCTAAAAAAAAAATGACATCTTCAGCTTTTTTAAGAATTAACCAACGTGAGTCCCAATGGTACATACCTGTAATCCCAGCAATCAGGGAAGCTGAGGCAGGAGGATTGCAAGTTTGAAGCCAGCCTCAGTTACTTAGCAAGTCTCAGTCTCCAAATAAAAAGTAAAAATAAAGGGCTAAGGGTGTAGCTCAGTAATAGCCCCTGAGTTTAGAACTAAAAACCACAAAATAAATAATTACTGAGTAGGATGACGCAGATGTTCTCCCTCTTCCTTGTGTATGACACATCCCATTTCTGATCCTCGAGGTCAAAGATAGAATTAGGTTAAAATATAGAATAAGACCCAAGCCTAACTACAGAAAGCTTAGCTCATTCCAAGATCTAAGTTGCAGAGTATTGCAGTACTTTCTCCTCTTTCCCTCTTTAATCTCCCCTTTCTAGGTACCCTGTGTAGCTCTGTTTTCTAATTCCCCATGCCAGTAACCTGGGACATGTGACTACCCAGGTACTATGTGATCAAGCACCAGAACTTGCTGGAGCAGGCTGGGCTCCCCTCAGCATACCTGGGGGGATATCCAGCTGCTTACCAGTCATGCCACCTTGGAAAAGACTCCTACCTCTGATTTCTTAATTGCTTACAGATAATAATCCTGACCTCAAAAGTTTATTGTGGAAATCAAATAAATTCATGAATCTTACGAGGCCTGTTATGTGCCTATAATCCCAGCTAATTGGGAAGGAGGCTGAGGCAGGAGGATCACAAGTTCAAGGCTGGGAATATAGTGATAGGGTGCTTGTCTAGCATGTGTGTTCAATCCCCAGGACTTGGAGTGGTGTTTTTAAAAAGGCTGACATGTTATAGGCACTTTGAGTGTGTGTGTGTGTGTGTGAGAGAGAGAGAGAGTTGGGGGATCAGACTCAGGACTACATCTTGCTAGGCAAAAATCTCTGCCACTGTCCTGCATCCCCAGCCTCCGTAACTTTTCTCAAAGTCCACTTCCTATTGCTTTCCTTTTTGATCTGTACTATAAATGCATTCTTCCATACTGATCCATCAGCCTTTTCTTTTAAGCCCCCTCCCCCACCCCCAGTGCTGGGGGATTCAACCCAGGACCTCTTGCACATGATAGGCAAGCGCTCTACCACAGAACCACACTCCCAACCTAAGCCTTTTTACGTTTTTATTCAGCCAGT